GTAAGCTCCATATTTTGAATTTATATGCATAAGTCATACAATTTTCTCTCAATTCCTTTTATGGTTACAATCCTCCTCTCAAAATTAGTGATACTCTTCCAAAGTGGTGTCAATTTTATATTGCTCTTGAATTAACGCTTTTAAAGCTTATGTGCTCACTTTTCAGAACGTTGATGGAGTAGAGATTGTACGAGAGATATCCCAATCTCTTCAAAAGATGAAAGGGTTGGACAAAGTGTATGCAATTACTGGTGCAAAAGTGCCAATAGTGAAGTTTTGGTGCCCGAAATTTGGTTTTGAGGGAGAGTGAGTTGTTCATGACCTCTCCTCACTCTTTGTACTCCGTGAATTTTACTATTTCATTATAGCATCAGCTACTACAATGTCTTAGCTCTGTACAACACACAATTGCTGCGGACCTACTGTTCATGGGATCGACGAGTGGCCCCGGTTGGTATATGGGTGAAACGGGTAGGTATATCTCTTCGCCTCATATCTCATCTATTATTTCTTATTATTTATGCAATTTAGGGAAATTGTCACTTTTTGATATGCTTTACTAAGTATTTAAATCCGTTATTGTTTTGCAGCTTCTTATCAAAAATGCAAAACTTCTGTTTTCCCAGTATGCCTCATTGAAAATACATAACTAGCTCATACTCTCTCTATTACCTAGTGTTTTTGAAGCATTTGTGCCTATTTTGACGTTGACAAGTAAGCTAAGGTAAATGATCAAAATAAAATGATGTTGAATAAGCTAATATGCTTGCACTATTTTGCTATGAAGTTATAACTTTTTGCTCATATCGTATATTTTCATTCGCTGATATAAAAATTAATGCGAACGCGGAAGCCATTGCGATTACGCAGCTGATATCTAGCTTGTTGGCATGACCACAGAAATGGTTAGCTTTTAGTGGGCGAAATCATGCGATATCGGAGATGCATCACGTGGCTCGCTGTCGTCGTACGCTATAATCATTCTTCTAATTCACTACCTTCAAAACTGTGATCCGCCAGTTTTGCCTCGCCTGCAAGAGGTAATTAATAGTTATATTCTCCGGACATGTATACACAAATTTCTGGAATTTTCATTCAGGACTTTCGCAATGGTGACGTGAAACCGATTTTGGTTGAAAACCATGATGTGTACTATCATAGAATACTGCCTGATAACTTTGAATGGTCAGAGAATAGGTTGTCCGTGGCGCAGCTGTTTGTTGGTTTCTTGGATTACTACGCTCACTTCGATTTTGATACGCAGGTAGGCTACTTGTGTTTTGATGTCTATATTTGTTTTCTGATTTCCACGTAAGATTTTTGTGAGCTTACATTGAATTTTCCTATTATTAGGTAGTACAAATTCGCCGCAAGAAGCCGCTGCTAAAAATGGAAAAAGATTGGAACCGTTCGATGTGCATTGAAGACCCATTCGATCTCAACCATAATTTAGGATCTGGAGTTTCAAGGAAAAGTGGGATCATTTACAAATTTTCATCTCGTTATTTGCATTCTTGTACTTGCGGAAGCTGTTTTAGTGTTTGTATTCATTGCGCGCAATATCCACAATTCTCGGAAACGTTTCATGCTGTCAGACATTCGTCGTGAATTTTTGGGGA